CACACAGGCGTAGGCCGCCCTCTACCGCCTGAAGGCCGGAGGCTGAGCGGGGCGCGAGCGGATCCCGGATCCCGGGAGGAGAGCCGCCTCCTGAGAATGCCGTGCTCCCTACAGCGCTGGGAACGGACCGGCCCGTGCCAGCTCAGTCGGCTGCCCTAGGGGGCACCCGCACTAGAGGTTTTGAAGCTGGCTCCTTGCTACTTTTAGGGGTGGGAGCTGCTGCTGCTCAGCTCCTGCAGCCCGCGTTTGGCCGCTTGGCTGCAGCTTCCAGCGCGATCCTACAATGGCATCGCTCCCCCAGGAGACTCAGCGAAGCCCTACTTTATCTTGTGAGAGCTGTTTCCACATTCACTCTAAGAGAAAGACCGCCCCCCCACGAGGGCCTGAGTTCGATGCCCGGCCTCTCCCGACCCGCGGCTGCTACAGCCCCTCTGAGGCGGAAGTTTATTCACTACGGGAAAGAGTACAGCACGGGGAGAGGGGAGAGGCTTTGCCCTAGGATGTGTCCTACCCGCTCGGACTCGGAAAATTCCCGGCGCCCGCGATGCAGAGCAGTGGGCCGAAGGGCTACCTCAGAGCAGCCCAGACCGCCAGCTGAGCGGGAGGACCTGAGCGCGCCGCCCCAGCACACAAAGTAGTCGCGGGCCGAGGGGTGCCGCCGAGGCCAATCAGAGCCGCGCGCCGCGTGAGTGGAGTGCGAGCCGGCCAATCAGAGGGCCGGAAGATGAGCTTCCCGTTCCAAACTCTTCCCTGTAGCCTTGGGACCCAGATCCCAAGCCTGGGGCGCTTTACGGTGGGAAAGCGAAATGGTGCCCTGAAGACAAGAATCATTTCTCAAGGCTTGGGCATTTTAAAGTACATACCGGGGACACTTATCCCAAAACAAGTAGCGGCGGCCTTTTAGATGTTAAATATTAAAAGATCACAGAAAAGAGATTTAAGAGGCAGTGGCCTGTCAAGATTGCAATCTGCCTAATAGTCAATAAATTCACATATTTATTGAGAATATGTACCAGGAACTCTGTCTTCTTATGTACCAGGAACTCTATCACAGATACACAAATAAGGTACTGCTGATTCCGAACAAGAAAATCCCTTGTCCTCAAGCAGCTTGGGTTCTGAGGGAGGTTTTGCTAGACCTTGTGACTCGTGTTTATTGTCAGCTCTTTAAACAAAAAGCACTCTATGAAGTGCTGTACTTTACAGTCGTTTTTATGATTTTTATCTCCCTGTGAGAAAAGAAAATTGAAAGGAAAGTAGAGTGACTTATCCAAGATCACACAAAAGATGTTCTAGCTCAGTTTGGGTGTCATCATTCAATAAAATTATTCAATAACAATTTATAAATGCATGGATGCTCTCTCCCATGAGAGGTCTGTAGTAAGCGTACAAGCAGGACAAAATTCTGGTATAAAAGTGACACACTTTGGTTGTTGGAAATGAACACAAATGTTAGGCTTATGAAAAGGTAAAAATCTTATCAGTCATACTCTAGATAATTTTTAGAAGTCAGAGGTGGGGCGGATATTTACGTTTTAGTTTAAACACAGCATTTTAAAAATATTTTAACAAGCAAGCGTAACTTTTTTTTTTTTTCTTAGAAGCAGCCGGAAGGATCACTTAAGCCCAAGAGTTCCAGGCTGCAGTGCCACATCATGCCTGTCAGTAGCCACTGCACTCCAGCCTGGGCAACATAGCAAGACCCTTATCTCTAAAATTAAAAATAAAATTTAAAAAAAGAAAAGAACTATTTATAGTTGGTTAATAATCATGATAGTTTACACTGTATAATACTTTGAGATATCCAAGTTCAAAGCTTTACATTTGCCTCAAAATTCCATTTTTGTCTGGCCTTCCATTTTTACTTCCAAAATCCTAGGAATTAAAGCACTTATTTTCCCTACCTGCTTCCAATTGGAAAAAAAAAAAAAAAAAAAAAAACCCTAGGAATGTTTTGCCCAGGATTTGGTGCATTTGTATAGAGCAGTATAGTGTATGTTAAAATAACAAATAACTTTGGGCCGGGCGCAGTGGCTCACGCCTGTAATCCCCAGCACTTTGGGAGGCTAAGGCGGGTGGATCACCAGAGGTCAAGAGTTCAAGACCAGCCTGGCCAACATGGCAAGACCCCATCTCTACTGAAAATACAAAAATTAGTTGGGTGTGGTGGCGGGTGCCTGTAATCACAGCTACTCGGGAGGCTGAGGCAGGAGAATCGCTTGAACCAGGGAGGTGGAGGTTGCGGTGAGCCGAGATCACACCATTGCACTCCAGCCTGGGCAACAAGGGTGAAACTCCGTCTCAAAAAAAATAAATAAATAAATAACAAATAATTTGGTATCTCTTGAATACACTCAGAAACTAATTCTTCAGTGATTTTGAAGTCTGCTTTGTTGAATCAGTATGCTTCTCCACCTGTGACGGAACATTATTATCAAAACCCTTTCCAAGGCAGGCTCAGGATTTAGCTGCTATCCCAAAACTGGAGGTCTCTGTCAAGCAACTGATATCTGAGAACAAGTCTTTACACATTAAGTTCCAAGCCAATCATGAATTTCCAGGAAATTCACTTATAAAAGGGATGATTACCCTGCCTCTTCTCAGTGTGGACAACAGTCCCAGCTTTTTAAAAATGCATTTATTTTACTCTCTCCAGAGAAGAAAATTCCTAGAACTCAGTCTTTCTCTTGCCAGGTTAAATTCTGAGAGAGAAGGAATCCCCTAAAAGGTTCTAAACATCACTGGCCATCAGAAAGTGTCTGTGTCAAAAGCGTTTTTCCACAAGCTGCAGGTCCCCCCCTGTTGCTGGGCTCTCTTATTCTCTTCTCCCAACTGCTTGCCTCTGCTGCTCATCACTCCCAGTTTGTGATATTAGATTAAGTAAGTATAGGTACTCCATCTCTTACTCCACCCCTCCCTCACCAAACTAGGTTTTGGACCCATCTTTGCTTATCCCAAAAGTTAAAGACAAGTTCTGTTCAACAAAAGATTAGACAGAATAATCTTTATGATCTGTTTTACTGAGAACTAACAGGGCCTTGTCAGTGCATTGTTCTCTTTTACATAGCCTCAGTCAAATTCTTACCCATCAGCTAGAGCTATGGGGACTTGGGTGTGGGGCAGGAAGGAGTCAACCCTTAGACAATGGAAAAGATCAAAATGAAAGTTAAAGTGAGCACATGAGTGGCCATTTTATTGAGAGATTAGCTAGATCAAAGTTAATGAAATTGAATGCTATCACATTTCCTAAGTTGTGAACATTCATGTAGAAACTGGTTTGAAATTTACTACCATTTTATTATGACCGTAATAAAAATAATAGCCAAAGTGTAATAGTGCTGAGCACCAGGCCCCATGCAAAACTCTTTACCTCTACCGTTTAATTCTCAAATCAAACCTTTGAGGTGGATCCTATTATTACGGTGGGGAGATCTGTGGAGTTCCAGCGAGGGGTTGAGGCACTCAGAAGGCTTAGCATAAGCTACTTACCAAATAGTTTAGAAATTTTTGTATCTCTACCAATGTGTACCAACTGACTGTCAGCCATGGAAGCATTCTGAATAATTGTTAAATGTTCTCGTTGTTTTATAATTGTTGCTCTAGCTACACTTCACTTATAGGATCTGATTTTCCAGGAAGTCATCCAAAGGTCAGCATTGTTATTGCCAAGAGCAAGAAGGGGTGACCTTGAGATAATCGTTTTACCCATCTGGGCCTCAGTTTTCTCATTTGTAAAATAAAAGGGTTAGACTAGGTAAGTTGTTCATCAGTTCTAAAACTACAAATCTAGCCAACTTGACACACCATTGACAATAACTACAAAAATGAAATATGGGGGGGAAAGTCTATATTTTCATTTTTGTTTTTTAGAGACAAAGTCGCAGAATGTTGCCAAGGCTGGTCTTGAACTCGTGGCCTCAAGCTGTACTCTCACCTCAGCCTCCTGAGTAGCTAAGAATCTGTATTTTCAAATTCAATGTGTTTTAAGTCACTTTTGAGCCAGCTCCTTAAACAAACTTTATACCTACTCATTAAAAAGCCAGAGCAAATCTTTCCCATTAGAAGACTAAATGAAGTAATTGATTTAAAGACTGATGAAACTAGCCAGACTATGCCTCCCTATGACTTGCCTCCATGGCTGAAATTTCTGTCTTCTTCATTGGGATAAAGCAGCATATAGTTCACACTATTGATTTCTTATTCACCATTCACTCCTGTCCTTCCTTATTAATAAGGCTCTTTATTTTTGTTTTCATCTGCCAATTTTTTATGTAACCACCCAAACTCCAACTACAGAAGGGCAACTCAATTAGCCAGTAAATGGATTCCCTAATATGGTAGGAGATTTATCATGCTTACTCTCTCCTTCCAGACATACAAAAAGATTACATTTTTTCACACCCACCCCAGATACCCTCCTCCCCTTGCAGTTGGGCTGGACCATGTGACTGACTAGCTGTAGCCACCAGTCTGTAGTGAGTTGTGGGTAGAAGTGGTATGTGTCAATTCCAGTTAGAACAGTTCATTGCCAGCATAAGTCCTTACAATGTTTACTCTTCCCCAGACTCAAGACCAGTATTATCTTGAGAGTATTGGTAAAGCCTCTCTCGGCTTAAGTTCCAAAAAATAAAGGACAAGGTAGAGCAGCCTGCCTCCCATTTTCATCTGGTTTTAATAAGAAATACACTTTTGTAGTTTAAGCCACTGAGATTTGGGGGTATTTTTCACTGCAGTATGACCTAGCATCTAGGTTATGCTAGACTAGAATATGCTAGAATTAGAATAGTCCTAGACTATTCTAATTAATATACTTGAAAACCATTAGGACCAGGACAAACTGGCCCAATCAGACCGAAGGAAAGGATTTTCAGTCCATACTTGGGGGAAGGAGTTCTCTCTTTCCTGCCAGATATGAGCAAGTCAACCTGTAACCCAGATTGCCATTGGCAGCAATCTTGCAAGAGGAATTAACCTGAAAATGAAGTCAACCTACTGGGGATGGCAGACAGATAGAAAACCCTTGAAGATATGGTTGAGCTGTGGTCATACCACTCCTGAAATCTGCTCTTTCCTGGACTATTAATTCTACAAAATAATAATTCTGTTTGTTTGTTTCCACCATAACACTGTAAGCAAAAACTCTATCTTGTATGTCTTTAATTTCATCTCAGTTCCTAACACAGATATGTCTCAAGAAGCACTAAAAAATATTGGATATAGCCAGGAATGATGGCTCATACCTGTTACCTCAACACTTTGGGAAGTCAAAGTGGGAGGATCACTTGAGGCCAGGAGTTCAAGACCGGCCTGGGCAACCATAGCAAGACCCCTGTCTTTATTTTTTATAATATATTGGATGCATTAAAAAATTTTAACGTAATAGATCATACTCTTGCCTTCAGAAATAAAATATTATCTGCATTAACAAAGAGAAAGAATAATTTGATTCAATCCAACCTTTTTACAGATGAAAAGATTAAAACCTTGTAAGACACTACAAGGTTTATCAAGTTCATATGCTTTGGTATGGCAAAATTGAAGTAGGGAAATAGCTAATAATTTCTTCATCAAAATTGACCATAGTTTCCAACTTAGGATACAGAAGTATTGAGCCAGTATATTACCCTCAGACTTAGTAGCTATTTTGTAACCACATCACACCAACCTGGTTCAACTTTTATGTTAACAAAGTTGTGAGTTGTTTTTCAGTTACCATGGGCCTCCAGTTTGAAGGTCACCTAACCTGAACATGCCCAGATGAACCGAGTCTGCAACCACAACAGGAACCTAAGTGCTCTGACTGAGGAGTGGGGAATGAATTAAGAAGGGGACACCACCTGGCAGGATCGAAGATCTAATCATTACCATCACCCCATGGCAGGATCCAATCAAATCATACCTCCCAGCATCACCTCATTGCAAGATCCAATCAGATCACATCTCATTACTTTATGCTTATAAAACCTGGCCAGGCCAGGCACTGTGGCTCACGCCTGTAATCCCAGCACTTTGGGAGGCCAATGTGGGCAGATCACTTGAGGCCAGGAGTTCGAGACCAGCCTGACCAACATAGTGAAACCCCATCTCTACTAAAAAGTAGAAAAATTAGCCGGGCATGGTTGTGGGCACCTGTAATCTCAGCTATTTAGGAGGAGGCTCAGGCAGGAGAATCATTTGAACCCAGGAGGCGGAGGTTGCACTGAGCTGAGATTATGCCACTGCACTCCAGCCTGGGCAACAGAGCGAGACTCTA